CTGAACTGAAATTCTTGGCAAAACAGAGGAAGTTGGGCTGAGATGGGTGTCCAGAGACACCCCTTTCCTACAGGGTGTGGTGTTAGATGATCTGCAACTGCCACTGTGAAATGAATGTACCAAGAGGTTAATAGATGAATGCACAGACCTTGTATCAACAGGGAGAGATGAAACCTGTCTAGGGGAGAGCTTTCAAGCTGTGGAGAAAGCCATAAGACTGGTAAACAAGGTAATAAAGAACACAGCAAGGAAGGACTTGAGGATTTATGAAGGAGTGAGGTTTTGTCCCCTGATCCTCACAAACTTTGCTACTTTATTTGGTTTAAATTCTTGTCAACAGCAGAGAGAGTTCCTACTAAAACCCAGAGCTACTTTGCAAAGGGAAACTCTTACAATATACCTATACCAGGAAACTCTTACAGATTTCAGTTTCTGGAGGTTCTTCCAGTTTGGTATTACCCAGGTATGGGGATTTAGCTTGGAGCTGCCAGGTCCCCATGCCCTAGAGAATAAGTCTAACCATGAGAGAGTTCCACATTACCTGTCTGACTGATGGGTAATGGAGGGAATGTCAAACTTCACCCCCCAGGGAAGATCCTTCATGGTCCCAGGTAGACCTTTTCTGACTTCATCTTTATTCAGATCCAGATGCTGACTTACATCCAGAGAAGGGCTATTGTGGGGCTGCAGGAAGAGGGAAGAATGAGATCCTCAGCAGGTTTTTCTCACTGTAAAGCCCCTTCTCTAGCCCCGGCTCCCAGCCTGTGGTCACAAAGACACCCTTGATACCTCCTGTGTTTTTCCATAGTTCTGGCCACCTGCTATTTGCTCTTCCATGAATGGCACCCAGAGTAGTTTCACCTCTCATATAACATGACTAGCATTAAGTTTATTATTTTAGGTGAAACCAAACTCCTCAGCCCATTCATTCTGGGCAACCATAATAAACAAGATACCTGCTGCTTGGCCTCCCTGCTGAAAAGTAGCAATTTCCTGGCAGCCCCTTTCTGTCTCAAAACACACACATGCTTTCCAAAGGCAAAAGAGCCAGCAGCACCTTTCCCTTCTTGCAGGAAAGACCTGAAGACCTCAATAATTGTGCCATAAGCAAGAAGAGGTCTCCAGAATGTTTGGCCATCTAACTTTTGCTTTTCTGTTTGCCACCAAGCCAGTTACCTCTCTCAAGGCTAACACAACAGCAACTAGGAGGATGAACATGCTGGCTTGTGCACAACCCTGCCTGGGTCCTTTTTTGTCTCTAAAAGCCTTATTAATTCTCTGAGTCAAAGGGAAGGAGAGCAGAGCTCTAGGGAGACAACACATTAATAAAACAAAGCTCTGTACAGCTCCTGACTAGCACCAGGACCCAGCCAGGCTTTGGGTGCATGCGAGTCTATGGCCATGACACAAGATCATAGACAACCTGGATTCTCCATCAGAAGGGTCTGCTCTGCCTTACCCTAAGCATGCTGGACATCACTGAATGCAGCAGGAACAGGCGGTTCAGTGTCCCCTCCTGCAACTCAGAGAGGTGCAGGTGGTGTAATCTTGCCAGTGTCTCTGGGACAGGAATGTTCTGGGCTGGAGCAGAGATAGGAAGGAAAAGTTAAAAATCACTCCTAGATAAACAGCTGAGATCTGTGGACTCATTACATCCATGACAAGGATTTCTGGGTGGATTGTTCACTTTGGCATCAGAAAACAAAGCTCAGGAATCATGACAGAGCAGGAGCAAAGTTCTGCTCTACCTGTTATCAGCATCTGCTGCTGCTGAATAATTTCTTCACAGAGCAGCATGTGCTGCTGCAGTTGCTGGATCACAAAATCCTTCTGGCACAACAAATTCTCCTTGTACAGTGTGTTTGCCTGCAGCTCTGTGTTGCCAAGCTCAAGCTCATGGGCTCTGCAGAGGAGCCTTAGCACCTCCTGCTGATCCTCACTGGTGATTTGTCTGGGGAGAAACTCCTCCATCTGGGAAGCTTTTTTCTTGGCATTTGCTAAGTGCTGCTCCAGCTCTTTCTGAAAAAGAGAGACAGGGGGTTGTCAAGGCAGTTTGGCTTCTTGGGATAACAAAGGCATCTGAGCAAATCTGTGCTATGTCCTTCAAGCTGAGAGTAAAGTAACATCTACAAAAAGTATTTTGCTTATTCTATTAGCAGCCACCATGTTTCAGTCATGGCAGATATATCCAGATGCACAGGCCTTGCTTAGAGAAACTCACAAACATTAGGTACCAAAAAACAGGATTACCAAAATACTGAACAACTAGTAAGTGAAAAGCCCTAAAAGTGTCCCCAAAAACGGAAATGGAAGAATGAGCTCTCCTATGGGTAGCTGAACCCAATCAGTGGGCTTGTGATTTTCCCTTGTCCTAAAAAACACAAGGGACAGAGGCAGAATGTTCCCATGCTGCTTCGTGCAGCAGCCCAAGGTATTTAGGAGCCCCGTTGTGGTACAGGTGCCACGCTGCTTTTGTGGTGCTGGCCCAAAGCCACAAGCACCTCTCTGAGCTCTGCTGCTGCCATCCTGCCCCCCAAGCACCCACCGGGCAGAGGTCAGACTTGCCACTGCAAGTGTCCCTAAGGACACCTTCACCTCCTCACCTTCAGGGCCACCGTCCTGCGCTGTTCTGCCAGCAGCAGGTCGATCTCTTCTCTTGCTACTGTAACTTCATGAGGTTCAGGTGAATCTATGATCTCTGCTTCTCTGTCTTCCTCCTCTGTGTTTTCATCTTTTTCCTCCTTTGCTGGCTTGTCATACTTGAATGCACCCTGAGCCTTCTCTCGTTCCCAGCTGCCAGCAACAACAGAAAGGAACTTCTTAGGACACAGTGTCATAACTCCAGTGATGCCCTTCGTTGTATCTGTCCAGCTCCTTCTTGCGTGGCAGCAGTGGAGCTAATTAGTCCAGGCTACTCTAGCTGGACAGACCATGCCAAAGAGCACAATTAGTTTCCTCCCATTTGGAAACATGTAAGACTGGCCTCCTCTGTGACATTTCCATGGCAGGAAGAACAGTGCTTTTCCCCATCCTCATCACAAATTGCTCACAGTTCACAGGTACTCATTGAAGACCTTTAATATCCTGAAGACTGTTTAACTACACAAATTACCCACATCTTAAGAGACTACAACGATTACAGAGGCATTAAGAGGGTAACTAGCAATAATGAAAGGGAACTGACACTTACTTAGAATTTATCCAGAAAAAAGGGATAAGGCAGCTTTCTCTGACATGAAATTATGACCAGATGCAGTACATATGGATGGAAAACACAGGGGGACTGAAACACGCAAGGACCAACAATCTCAGTCTGTGCTGCCATCCAGTTTTTCCATTAAAACACGAATCCAGAATAAGGTCCAAAGAGAGGTGGAGAATCTACTATTTACGCTTTGAGTCCTGAGCTTAAGCTTTATGACAGAGGTAGCAGGTTGCCTTACTGACTACATCAGGCAATTGCACTGCAGTGCAGCACAGTGTGCAGGCTGCAGTCTCCTTACAAGCACCAGGAGGGATTAGGGATGTGCTTCTCAACAGCAGAAAGCAGCCGTTGCAAATATAGCACCTTAATCTAAGGCTCAGAGTCGCATGGATTTAAGCTACCCTAAATCCCTGGGTGCCTTTTACAGACCACCACCCTGTCAAGTTCTTCCTCAGCACAAAGGTAGATCTCAAGCCTACACTTGGTCTTTCTGCATGAACAATGAAATACTCTCTTTAATAGCATCCTTTGGTCATTTTTGGGGTGTGTGTGTTTGTGTGTGTGTGTGTGTGATAACAAGATATTAATATTTCTCATAGGGCGTTTGGAAGTCCATGTATAAATTGTGTTCAGAGATAAGGAGCTACTCACTCTGTGATTGTCAGGAGGTGCCTGCAGGTGTCCATGTGCAGATCAATGTTGGTGTTTTCCAGCTCCATCAGGCTGCGGCGCATCTCCATCTGCTCCCTGAAAGCCCCCATCAGCTGCGCCCGCAAGGCCTTCATTACTTGGCCACCGGGTGCCTCAGAGCCTTGGTGCCTCTCTGCTGCAAGATAAGACTTTTCTGATCTGACAACAGGCTATGAAAACTTCTGCCAAACCCCCCCCAACTACTCTGGGACCAACCCACTCAGTCCACATGTTACAAAGCATTTGTTTGTAGGACTGCTTCATTCTCTGGTCTCTACGTTAATCATGTGCTGAAGAAATCTATCTTTATGACTGTATTATTAGCAATAAATAGGTCTCATTGTACTGCTTTTATCAGTATCAGGAGGATACTGCATTGCAGGCACATCTCTTCCTCCTTTCCACCCACCGAAAAAAAAAAAAGTATCACTTTTCTATGCTTGTTATGTAGAAATTACCTTGTGTGTTGGTAACAAAGACCTGTTCTACCTCATGTCTTATCTGTCAGAGAACTTGACTATTTTTATTTCATTCATGGCCAGATTCAACAACCAAAGGAACAATCCCTGGGAAAGAACAATCCATGTTTTAAAAGCTTTGCCCTGCCCCCTCTCCCTATTTTATTTATTTTAATTGGGTGCAGTGAACCATGCAACAGGGCTCAGTGTCCTGATGTGGCCACAGAGCCTGTGGTGACACGGGCTACGGACTTGGACACCTCTCTGTAAGAGTCAGGACTTTCCACAGCAAATGCCACCATTTGATGTCAAAACTCTTTTCAAGGGCAGGTTGGCAAAATTTAACATATTTTAATGCTGGGGAAGATGTTGAGAAGGTTGAGTGTGTTGGCCAGCATCACACAGCACATCAGAGACAGGCTCACATAGAAGAATAACTTCATGCCCCCTGCCTGCCTCCTCTGCCCATCAGACTGTGTTCTCCTCGAGCATTGTTGAGCTGCCCCTGCTATGTTTACATGGAAGCCCAACCAAGTGCTACCACAATACATCCACACAGCTCCTCTCCCAGCTCCCTTCCCTGCAGTTACCCCAGAACAGTTCTTGCTCCTGGCTCTACCTTGCAGATCCCCAAGGTCAGAGCTGACTGCACTTTTCTTCTCCTGGTTTTTGATCCTCTCCTTCAGATGCTCTATCTCCCTGCTGAGGTCCGTGATGATGCTGGTGTACTGGTCGATGTGGCAGATGTTCTGCAGGTTACATTTTACCTGGTGAGCCAGAATATGTGAGCATTTGTCCCAGGGTTCGTTATTGATACAACAGCTGCAAACAAAGCTATGCTTTCAGTTGGAGGGGCACCAAATTCTGTGACAAGGAGGAATTTATCCTTATGAGTGGGGAAACTGTAGATTAGTGGTTTTCCCTAATTCTGAGAAATTACCAAAAGGTAATAGAGAAAAGCCAGGGGACCTTGTGGCCTCAAGGAGGGCAGGAAACAAAGAGTGAAAACCCTGTTGAAGGTCATTGTTCCGCTTCCTTCCGCTTCCTCTCCATTTTATTCCTCATTTCTACAGCCACTCACTTCCTCTTCCAGGCCCAGCAATCCCCCTGGGACATGCCCCATATGTTGTCCTCCAGTAGCCATTTTCCAACCATCACTCTCTATGTTCTGCAGCCAGGTCTACACCAGACACATCATCCTCTGCCTTTCCATGATTCTGCTCTGTTGTCTTTCACATTCCTCTTCTCATCCACAACACACAGAGCTTGCTTTCCTCTGTTCCTTTCATCTGCTTTTCTTCTCTTCTATCACTCCCACTGAGCTTCTGTACCATCCTGCACTGCCCCCTCCTGAACTTTGTTCTCCCTTCATCCACTACATCCTCTGTTTCCACTTTGCAAGCTTTTCATCTGCAACCTCCACCTCCTTCTGGGCTGTTCACTCATTTACCTGCGTCTTGATGTTTTTTGCTCGATGGGCATAGATCAAGGTCATTCGAGATTCTTCAAAGGAGGTGCTGGCTGGGCTGATGTGTGCAATCATAACAGTCCTGCTGTTGCCCCCTAATGAGTCCTAGAGGGATGCAATATTGATGTGGTTAGTATGGACAAGACAGAGGCTTGCTGCTCTGTGGTAACCACCGCGGTTGAGTACCCTGGTGATTCATTGAGATTCTGGTGGGCAATCCCAATTAGGAGTGAAGGAAGTCCTGGGAAAGACCACTCACTAGGCCCTCTCTCCATCAACAGCAAAATCAATAAGTAATTAACTTTCTACATACGAAGAACTTGTGCCAGAAAATCAGTTTCCACAAATGCACTGGGAGCTTCTCAATGCTGCTTACAACAGAAACCTGCCTCTTTTTCTATCTCTCCTCCCCACTATCTTCTAGAAAACATCTGTTGTGCAGTGGTAGCTGAGAACCAAGGCTTGAGGTGAGGCTCAGAAATGAGGTTGTAAAGTATCCATAAAATAACCAGTGTAGCAAAGAGCAGGTCTGCAACCTCTGATTTCCTACAGGAGAGACAACTCATGACAGCACATAGTAACCCTCTGTATTTTTTTATCCCGTCCCAATAACATCCAAATTTATTGGCCAGTTTCAGCCAAATGCTATAGATGGGACGAAACATTCAAAGGCAGCAAGTTAATTTAGAAAATCACTGGTCACCTGCAAGCTTAGAGACAGACACAACCCAAATCTATAGGATTTCCTTAGCCCTATAGGAGGTCCTTTTTTAACCCCAGCGACCACAAGACAACATGCTTGTCACAGAGACAACACTGTCCAAAACAAGCCCTGATTGCAGTGCAAAGCTCATGCAAGATCCTGAGGAGCATTTCAGGGTGGATAAAGAGAATGCACACAGATCTTGGAGGACCAGCTCTCCAGTCCTGTCAGATTAGGGCAGTGACACCAGCACCAGACACACCAAGCTCCCTGCGGTGCACGGTACCTTCAGCAGGCGGGTGAGTTTGCTGTCTCTGAAATTGACAAACTGAGCCCTGCTCCCCCCCTTCTCGCTGAGGGCATTGATGCAGTTTCCCAGAGCCAGCAGTGAGCGGTTGATGTGGGCTCCTTCCTTCATCCTCTTGCCCTGGTTCCGAGTCTGTTAGGAGGGAGGGTGGACAGACAGACAAAGCACACACTTCAGAACAGCGGGACTGCACCTGGGGAGCCGTGTGGTGCCACCAGGGTCAAGGTTTGGATGTCAAAGCAATGCCTCCTGCAAACCAACCTGAAAGTGCAGGGTTAAACCCCACTCTGAGGCACAGGGGTGCTGGTAGAAGTACATTTCTGGAAAAGATGACCCAGCTCTTACCTCTTGGCTCTTAAAAGACAGCTATTCATTATCATCTAAAGATTATTATGGAATTTAAGGTGCATAACTACATTACACCAGAAAGCCTGGTCTCAGTAGAAATACTTGGTATGTAAAGCCTCTCTCCCACAAATAATCTCTGAGTTTCAGTATTTCCTTCTTCTCATCAGAGCCAGCTGCCTTATTCTCCACCCACCAACATCCCTCTGTTCCACTGGTACCAGCTTTCTCTCCAACAGCCCAGCCAATCCCTGCCTAACAGACCTCAGGTTCTCTATAGAAGTGAAATTTGCTGCTGCTTTTTCAGACCTGAGAAAAGACTGCACCCAAAAGCTACTTTTTTCCACTTACATTAGTTGGCCTAATAAAGGATATTACCAATATCAAACTTTGCCTTTGAGACCATCTCAAGTACAAACTACTGCTCTAACGCAACAAAGAAACCCCCAGTGCTGGTTTCCCCAGGGACGAGGACAGGCATGCAGACCCTGCCCAGCAGGCCAAGGAATCCAGCCTGGTGTCACCCAAAAGCTGCTGAGCTCCAGCCCTACCTGGGCTGCCCTCTCTGACCCTGCCAAGTCAACCATGAAGAGCTTTCCCATCCGCACTTCCTCGCCCGCCGCCTTCCTCCGGCTTCTCAGTGTCACCGTCACCTGCAGCACCGCGTGAGAGCGGGAGGACGTCTGGTTGGCAGGGGTGGCTTCCTGGGTGCGTTGCTTGTTTCCTTTCATCAACAGCTGCATGATCTGCACGGTGCAGAAAAGCAGGCAGAGATGAGCAGCTCTGCCTGAGCCTTATCGTGGCCTTCCCTGCAGACTGAGCCCCTCACCCAGGGCACAAACTCTGGGCCTGCTCATCCTGGCAGGGGTTTTGCTGTTGATTTTTCCCAGATCTCCCCCTTCAACTTATGACTTTGGAAGGGGGGGGGAGGGTTTGAGGTTGTTTTCCTGGAAGGCCTGTTTATCTCATATCTCAAGGGAGCTTCGTTATCTCCTCTCCCCCTCCGAGTATTTTGTTGACACGTGTACACAAATCAAAGCACTCTTGCCCTTCCAGGAAAGCAGCATGTACCCTGGGGTAGCAGAGCTAGCAGGACGTTAGCTGGGGATTTTAGCCTGGTTTCTACCACTCACATGGTTTCATGATCAGCCCTTTCCATCCAAGTAATCACATTAATCCAGTTCCACCAAGGTCCTACTACAAAGGGTCCTTGCCTGAGTGAGGCATCAGCAATGGGAAAGTGTCAAGAAATTTTAAAGCACTAATGCATGGAAGCACAAGCCCCCTCTCAACAACCCCCCTCATAGCCCAGGGTACCTCCTCAGCATTTGTAGTGGAGACTTCTGTAATTCCTGCTATCTGGATGCTGCCTCTGGGGTCCTCTCTCAGGTCTAAGAACCCTGAGGATGGGTTCAGGAGGTCACGGATCACTTCATTATAGATCTGAGGGTAAGAAGTGAGGGGTTGGTGTGAGTCTAGCAGTGGGTCCTTAGATCTGCAAAGAGAGTTGAGTTGATCCTGTATTTCTTTGGAGAGGAAGGGAAGAATGGAATATCCAAGCTGTGGAGCCCAAGGGGAGTGCCACACACTGGACAGACTTGGATACCCCACTTCCAGGGGTTTGCAGAGTTCCCACAGAACCTGGATCCAGGGCAACACAAGATGCTTCACCTCCAGGTAGGACATGGAGACTCTGTAATCCATCTCTTCAGTGGTAGCTTCAAGGGCCTTAAAGAGATCTTCAAGACTGCGGATGTAAATCCCTGGCTCACAGTCCGTCCCCAGCATCGTGTAGGTTTTTCCTGCTCCTGTGAAAGGTACAAAGAAGGGCAGCAAGGACCAACACTTCCATGTTAGCAAGTTTCCACAACAAATAAAGCCTGGTTTCTTGCTGATTTCTGTCCTTCCTCCCCTAAACCTCCCCCAGTTACTCTGGTTTCTCACCCCACAATGACACTGCTGCAGAAAAGACATGGCATGTGCCATCCAAAATGGGTAGGAAGAGGACTTGGAGATGGGATAAGTAGGTTAACTGCCCACCTAGGTGTTCAGAGCTAGGGTAGAAATGTATTTGCACCTAGTCTGTAGTCTGTAAGTACTTTCTACAGCTTTCTATTCTCCTGAGATCAATCTCCAACATTGCACAGATGCCCTCATCTTTTTAATGGAAATATTTGTCTCCACAGAATTCCACCCCAATTAAATGACTTCTTGAACAGGGTAGCTTTGCTGTTCTGTTAGCATAGAAGGCAGATCCATAGTTCCTGATGAGAATTCAATTTTAATGCCTCAGTCTCATCTTCACAGTAAGCACCTGATTTGCATTAGAATTCATTTCTGGTTGAAACAGCTATTTTATTCATCTGGAGCAGCACAGCCAGAGGAACAACTTTACCTGTTGGACCATATGCAAAAATGGTTGCATTGTAGCCAGAAATAACTCCTCCTATCAGGCTTTTGGTCGTGGACACATATATTTCCTCCTAATTCAGTCAAAAAAAGCATAAACTTATGGTCAGACATAACAGCTGTCCAAACAATCTATACTTAATTACATTCCCTGTCATTTTCTCACAGCATTTTACAAATTTCCTGGGCTTTGGAACTATTTGTGAACCATTTGAATTTTGATACATCATCAAAATGAGCAGAAAAGCACAGAGGTATATTGAATTTTCAAAAGGCAGGCAAGATGCAGGAACTTACTAAAATAAATGTCTCTAAATTTGATTATTTTCTTGGACTCAGAACATGGAATGCTCTGGTTTTAATTTGTGTCTGCTGAAGAAGAGGGTATATTCTTTCCTTTACATTATCCTGTTTTTGAGAAGTGCCACTGGGCCTCCAGTAATGTCTTGGGTTGCATGTGAGGGTGCTGCACTGAACTTTCACGTGAACAGAGATGAGTGAATTGCTTGTGAGGGTGATCACAAAATGCAGGTGCTGATTAAATCCTCATACTGCACCTTCTCTGTCTGCAAAACTCAGCTCAGAAAGGGCACTAGAGCTGTCTCATGAGACTGTCATACAACAGGGACACAGGGAAGAAGTGTGTGAGCAACAAAGCTGAGCAGTGTGACCATGATCTCATCCACCAGAGACCTCAGGAGACAAAGCTCTTCATCCCTGCTGAGGTGTGCTGCACCTGGGGGGGAGAGGCAGGCTGAACACTGCTCCTCTCCCCCTTCTCTGACAAAGGAAAACCCTCAAAGTCCTCTCACCTTCAGTACTGTCACCTTTTATGTGGGTGACCTGTGGCCTCAGGGATGTGCAGTTCTACTCACCTGCCAAGAACGTTGATCCAAGCAGGGAAAACAATTCTAATGTTAAGCCTTTTACCTGGGTTGCTCTGTGGTCAAAAACCATGTCAAACACAAATGTTTTTTCTCGGGACCTGTTGGCTCTCAAGATGTCATCTGGATCTTCACTTGGGTCCATTAGGACCACCCTCTGTTATAAAGAAAGTCAAAAGAAGAACCGTTAGGCCTGGGTTTGGTTAACAGCCTGTTGGGGTTTCTTGCAGCACTATCACCACCACAACTTGGCCAAAGGAGCATTGCACTGCAGCTTTGAGTGGAGGAAACACCATGTGGGGACCCACAAGCTTTGTTTGGTAACTGAGGTCACAGCTTCTGTAATTTGGAGAAGTAGTAACTGCTGCAAAAAGGCTTTGAAGGTCCTTTGTGCAGTGAAACAGTCACTGGCATTGGGTAATAGTAGTGGTTGCAGGGACATGACACCCAGCCAACCCCCATGCAGGCAGGAGGGGGACAGGACCTCTTGCCTCAATTTTCAGCCAAGACTCAGAGCTGTGGAAAAAAAAAAATAGTTATGTTTCTCAGAAGCAAATGTGTCCAAGGTCATCTTCCAAAGACTTTTCTGCAGAAGGATGGATAGAAATGTGCATTGCTCAAGGACATGCCATTTCTGGCTTTTATCAAGGAAAAAAAAAAAAGGTGGGAGAGGAGTCACAACAGGTTACAGAACTGGTTCTGTTTCTTTTCAGTCACTTAGGATCTATTTTAGTACATCATTATCACAGTGTATGATTACTGTGGAGAATGGTATTCTTTCTCCTCCACTGAAACAGCTCGTAAGGAGATGCTCAAGCCCCAAGGGAAGGGCCAGAGAACCCTTTGCCTCCTCCTCCAGAGTAGCTTTTACTCCCTCTCAGGTAAACAGATCATTAGATAAGCAATTATAGCACAGATTAACCACCATTTGACCTACAGAATAACAGCACTGGTGTGCCAGGCATGGGAGACAAGGGTCTAGGACAATTGCCCACGGGCAGTAAGGAACACCAAAACTTCGGTTTTCCTTTTTCATTTCTTGCTAAATTTCAAGTCTTTGACAAGTATCTCTAATTTTGATCTGCAATATTTCAATTACCAGAATGACTTTTTAAACAAGTTTTCACTGGTCCAGCTCAGGCCTTAAAACCTGAAGCAACACAAGAGCAAACTCCAAGAGGAAGTCCTGGTTTATCCTTGGTGGCAGCATTTGCCTGCAAGAGATGGGCTGACACAGAATCATGTGTACATGCAAGTGTGACAGCCAAGAGCAGAGCTTGGAGAATGAGGTCAGCATGTTTCTTTTAGAAATTCTGTCTGTAACCACTTTCTGGCCCCCTTTACCAAGTCCTTGTAACATTCAAATTTTGCTTGCAGTGTATCCATGCATCCAAGAGTCCTTCTCTTCCAGCCTGGAGCTCACACATCTAACTAGCAGTATTCTAAAACCATAAATCTGCTGCTATTGCACGGAAGCATTAACAACATAACAAGACACAAACAGAGTCAATTTTGTCTTAGGATTAGTAAGCAGGCAGATGCAGCTCTAAATCAGTTAGGCTGGGAGTAAAAATAGCAGAGAACATGATGTAAATGAAAATACACCAAGATCTAAGTACTTCAACTGCCAAGTCAATTAATTTGCTTTCATAATTACAGTTATTTGCATTATTAAGAGAAATTCATTCTCATAGAGCAGACTAATGCAATGCACATTTCCTTCCCAGATTTCCATTAAAGAAAACAGATCTCAGGGCAGATGATGCAAGTCTGAATAAGCTGGACAAAAATAAAGCTGATAACCTTGTGAGGTTAATGACTGCTTTAAAGAGAGAAAAGAAAAAAAAGAGGGATGTTTCACCAGTAAGCACCCAGTAAAGATGAACAAAAATTGTGTTTGTAAGATAATCCATAAAGAGGAAAAGATAATACAGAAAGAGGAAAGAGATTTGTGCTCTCTTTGCTTCTGAGGGCTGCTATCATTTGACTTCTGCATGGAGACAGGAGACAAGATATATTACAGAATTAGTGTGCATTCAGAAAGGGTTCAGAGTTCTGATGAACATGATAAAAGGTAATAGGATTTACACTGGTAAACAACAAGGACACTGTAAAAATATGTAAATAGATTTAGTGATGTAAAAACCTTATGTGGGAACTTCCTGCAATCCTTGCCTCTTAAAGAAGAGGAACAAGAGGTAAAAGATGCAGCACTGGAGATAAGAATTGCCCTTTGCACGGGAAGCTGAATCCCTGCCAGGCCAGGAGTTTTGCAGGATTTGGAAGCAAGTGTTTGCACATAAACCAGAGGAGCCAGACCCTTGCAGTGGTCCATGTGGTGCCCAGCAGGCTCCCCTGACCCCGGCACTCTCCTGCAGCCCAGGCACAACCTCCCCAGCTCACCTGCTCTCCCACTCTGAGGGCAGCAAGGGCAGCTCCCTCCTCCTCTTCTGCTGCGCTGATGGGACGGATGCGAAGGGCCACCTGCACACACAGCACACACAGCCCTGCTGTGCTCAGGCCACCCAGACTTACCTGCAGCAGGGCTCAGCTCTCTGCAAGCACCAGCAATATCTACAGCTTCTCACTGCATATCTTCTGCTGATCAACCTTAAAACCTTAAGCTCAGGGCCTGGAGAGTTTCAGGAAGTTTAAAAAGTTTAAACCAGTTAATTCTCCCATGATTTGCAATTTTATCTCGACAAATTCTTCCTCCCTCTTCTCCCGTTTCTGTCTCTAACACAGCAAGACTCCAACTGATTGACAGAGAAGGCAGCAGAATTAACTCAGCCATGTCATTGATGCTGCCAGCAGGAACCTTCTGAGATCTGGGACCATGGTACCAACAGCCATAGAGCTGAGCATGCTTACAGATTCCCCTGGTGTTCCCAAAACACTGATTAAAGTTATCCATGACAAAGAATGGGAATTGCATTTCACTAAGTACCCATTTCGTTTAATCCCAGGTAGCAATCATTATGAGCCTGTTCAACTAGATCAGAGCAAGTTAGCCCTGATCTGTGCAGGTCCCGTGGGGTTTCTTGGAAGCTGGAATTCATTGCAGGACTGGAGTGATTATAAAGCAGCAATTAACTGCCAGTGCCCTGTGCCACAACTCAATCAGGCAGGAACACCAGGCTCCATTTTGAAACACAGGCGACAATTTGACTTGAAGATTTAAAAGACACAGGCTGTTCTTGTCACTATTCATAATGCACAAGAGCACACTTTTTCAGCCTGTCTTAATCTATAGGTGAAGCAACAGGGAAGTGTGGTGTCATGGGTCAGTTGTGGGATGATTAACTGGGCCCCCTGAAGCCGAGGTCCTGCTCTGGCCCTGCCTCACTGCAGCTGCAGGCAAGCTGCAGTCCCAGATGCCAAACCTGTGTGCCTGATGGAGGGACTCCAGAGAATACCACCAACTCTAAATCCCACCTCAAAGTTGCCCTTGTCATGTCAGCTAATAACAGAGACCTGAAAAATTCTATTTTCACCTTTCCATAGCTATTTTCCCTTCCATAAAACACAGCAGCATCCCCTTAGCAGCTCCTGACAGGAGAGCTGATGCTGATGAAACACTGCATAATGCACATAAATGATGCCCCATCAGGAGGGTGTGCAGTTACTGAAACAGACTTGTTCTGTGGCCCCACCAGTCACAAGCAACTAGTTTCTATAGGAACCAGATTTATTTCCACAATAACAAGTTGAGCTACCTGTCAATTTAACAAGGGTCTCATGAACAGCTCCCAGTCTCAAACACTGTAGAAGACATTTTTTAGTAGTTCCAGCAGCAGTAAAGGAACATTCTGTTCATTGTGAATATCTCAAGAATCCTTAGCTTTGGATAGGTTGAATATTCACAAAAATGCAATAATGAACTTAACTTCATCATCTTCCTAAACATGTCCAAGTTACACACTTATGAGCATCTATCTCCTTTCCAGGGGCTGAACTCATCTTAGAAGCATATGAAAATACTACCTTGCACACCATAATCCCAAATCCTGCAGGAGGAGTGGGGGATATGCAAGTCTTTCTTGGACAGCCTTAACCTCTGGACTCATCTGGTAATCTCTGTACTTGGTAGCCCTGGCCACTGAGGGTAAGAAAACAAATGTAAATAAGCAACATATGGAGACAGGTCACACCACGTACTAAGGCTTTTCCTTGCATTAGAGAGGAATGCAAGGTATTCTAGATATTATTGACTTTATTTTAAGCAATTCCACTTTGAGCAGGGATTTCTGTGTCAGCCTCAGTCATGTTTCAGCACCATGTGAGGGCAGTGCTTCAGCTGAACAAAGAGCCACAGGGCTGAAGGCTGAAAATTTGGGAAAGGATTACGGTTCAAAGCACTCCTCTAACTGATCAACACAGAGCAGTGCTGGAGCAATGGTGCAGACTCAGAGAGGACTATAATCCCAGCTGCTTGTAGCTGTTTATCATGAATCTGTCACTCACACGGATCCCAAAGAGATGGGAAACTGAAAATCACTATTCAAGGAGGGCTAATCACCACAACCTGCCAGGTTACCTAGCTACATCTCCCCTGCTATACAATTTTTTTTCCCCTCTGCAAGGATACTTGTACCCAGCTTTTGCTTTCAGTAACACAGAGCTTTGCAAAAAAGAGAGCAAGTCTCAGTTTTTGCCTCCAGCTTTGCCACAGAGCCTAGGAACAGCAGGACAGCAGGGGAACATGACAGGAAGGATGCTGGGGCCCAGCTGCTCCTCTCTATCCCATGTCCTCCCCTAAACAGGCAGACTCACCGTGAGCTGCTGCTCCTTCATGGCTGAGCTGTGAGATGATGCCAGCTCAGGGCTGGGCAATTTGCCCAGGGAGGTGCACATCGACTTGGAGTCTTTCAGGAGACTGCACAGGCAGGAGGCTGGATGGTTGAGACAGCAGGAATCACCCCAGGGAAGGAAGAGGGAGGCAACCCCTGCAGTCCCCTGGGTGGGAGCTGGCTGCAGGGCAGCAAGAGAGGCAGCAGCAGAGCACTGAGCCCCGGGGCAGGAAGCACTGTGGGAAACAGTTGTGCCACCACCTCACCTTGCAGAGGACAGTGAAGGGTCAGGATAAGCAAAACGACCCACCTGCAAGCCCACTTCAGCTCTGTACATGTAAACCCATCTGCACACACCCTCAGTGAGTAGGCCACAGCCTTCACTTTCTCCCTTCTAGGATGCCCAATTTCTCCTCCCCATAGGATTAAACATATAGCACAACCAGGTACAGGGGCCTACAGCTCCACCAAAAGTTAAGCTAGAAGCAGCCTGGCCCCTCCAGTCTTGCACAAGAGCTGACAACAACCATCGAGACAATCAGGAAACAGTTTGCTGCCTCCCTGAGCTAACTGCAAACTTCCAGTGCATTTCCACATCACGCAGTGGTATCTCATGACTCCCACATTCAAAAAGGCAATTGATCCTTCAGCAGTTCAGTATCAGTCCACTCATTACAAGAACCTAGTAAAAAACCACAAGATTATATTTTGTCTTCATTCTTTATTGATACTAAATGAGTCAAAGCTCATAAAAGTTACAGTAAGGCTTTATTAAAAAATATTAGAATTTAAGTTAAAACAGAGTATATGAAGTTTGTATTAATGACTGTAGAGGGTTGAGAGGTCATGAGAATGTTTATTACAAATTCAAAATAAAGACTTTGAAAGTGAAGACCTGCCCAGGATTATAAGAATTGTTCCAGTTAATCTTGCTATTTAAGAACATTTAAAATACATAAGACAACACTTTTAACAAACATGAGATATATTATACTCAATGCCTAAGATTTGTTTCCCCCCTGCTCCTATTTTGGATCCTTGAAGGCTGAAGGTACAATTGCTGCTGGAGGCCTTTTTCCTCACCCATATTATTCAGTACCTACAAACCTGCTTCTGACCATCCTTCAGAAGCTTTTATGAGGGAACAGACCTCAAGCTGAGAGCCAGCAGCACAGAGTGCTTGAAGCTACAAACCAACAAATCCGACAAGACCCTTTCACCCTGCTACAACTCCTGGTATTCCAAGATATGCCAAAATAAGACTAGTTTACCAAATACATACTCATAAAGCAATTTCAGTAGCACATAATTTGCAAAAAGAAGAAACACTACAGAAAAGACATATTGTGTCTGCTGGTCAGGACAACACCTCCTCAGCTTCCAAAGGTCCTAGAGGAGCATCAACTTTTGGGTTTTTGGTGGGGTTGTTTTTTCTTCCCCCCCCCATCACTGATGAGCCACACTTCAGAGAAGCATCTCAGAAGAAAACTCAATTCATTTAACATTGGCATTACATTTATTTACTTTGAAGAATGGCCCAGAATAAGACAGTAGGCTATTAAAACTTCATTGCATGGAGACTGGGGAAATAAAGCCTTTCAACTCAGTTCGTACCTTAGAAAATGGTTGAAAAGTCAGCTCTTCACAAAGGATACATCAAATGATTCCTGCTATAGAAGTCCAGGCCATTACAGGAGAACTTCGATGTGCTAGAAGTTCTTCTGCATGATTCTGCCAGAAAGTTTGTATTTTTTTTCCAGTCCAGTTGGGAAATGAGCTTCATAAATGTTGTGGACAAAACTTTCATCATCTGTATTTATGGATTATGAATGAATTACTGCAGGAAACTGGGAACTAATACAGACTTCTGGAAAAAAACTCAACATCTGCTGGTTTAAGAGTGAACTATTGAAACAAAGTCAGTGACATTATTACAAAACAATGACTTTGAAGAGTCTTCCTGGTGAAGAGAACATGGAGGTTACTGGAGTGGTTCTACATTTGCTATCACAGCAAGTTCACCTACAAAGAAAAATGAGTACTAAATACATTGCTGTCCCTTGGCTGCCTCCAGCTGAGTGGGGCTACCCTTTGCACTTCCCATCTGTCAGGCACTGCTGTGGAAGTGGGCTCAGGGTTGAAAAACAGCCAGTGAAGAGGGCTCATGTGTGCCGTTTCCCTGGCCAGTCTGGGAGAAGAGACAGGAACATCCTAATTCTCCTCTGTCCCCAAAAATGGCAAGCAGCAGGTCAGCAGCCTCTTCACGGCTCTGACAATATCCAGAAAATAATTTCTACTTATCAATGCAAATACAGGGAAGTTGCTCCACCAGCTTTTCCCCTCTGAGCACAGAGGGCTTCAGAAATGAAAGCAGGTACTGTAACAGGGAGCATAAGGCATGTGTATACAGAGCAGTTCTCTGAAAGTTTGCAATGTTCACTAAGAAGGTTTGGATTAATCCAGTAATTCCTGAGGCTGGAATCAGCTTGCAAATGGTTTAAGAAATCTGCTCATTTTCTAGTCACTCCACTCTAGTGAGCAGGTTCACTTGGCAGATGAATGAGCTGTATCGTCACTGTAAAAAACAAACCACAACACAAAACCAGAAGAACCATGAGGAAATGAAATTAAAAAGATAAAATAAATCTAAAGCAACCATATAGCAAACACTCTTGCTACTATAGGAATGTTTGACTCTCATCATTCAGGGAAAGCTTCCCTACAAACAACACATAGCCAGCCTGGTTTTAGTATAGGTCTGCTTTTATTTCCATATTCAGCTCTTTGAGGGAGACATCCTTTCACAATCTGAAAGGAGGAGGATATAGCCCACTGTAGTGCTGCTTCAGCACACTAAAACACATCATACGAAAAATGGTTCTATTGACTTTTCCCCAAACAAAAGGAACATCTGTCCATGCACTCGGGACATAGAAAGAGTCCTGAAACAGAAACATTGTGTGTGTGTAAGACAGAGGTGCACTGATGAATCTCACCTCACTGGCAATAGTCACAAACTGCCAGTCGGTAAGTACTGCACGGGAGTTGGGAGGTAAATACTGGTAGTAGTGGATTTAAAAAGAAAAAAAAAATAAATCAAACCCTAAGAAAGAAAAAAGGAATAAAAATTTAAAAGCAGCGCCTTCCCAGGATCTCACTGCAGCAGGCAGCAAGACTTAAAGGCACTACAATGTGTCAGAATGGAGAAAATCTGGTGCATCCACCCTTCCAGAGTGCAAGAATATGGATTAAAAATTCCAAAGTTGATGTAGGCTTTCTGAAAATGAAGGAACTTCTTTTCAGCACAAGATATGGTGGTGCTGCAGAAAAGGAAAAAAAGGTGAGTTACGTTACTGTGCTTTATACAAAGAGCTCAACCTTACTGCAGCTGCCAGCTGGTAAACAGGCTACAAAAGCATTTTGTTCATCTGTTCTTGAACTGATGTTTGTTGAAATGCAGACACTAGGCAGCTTCTCTCCCTTTCCTCTTACCTCCCTCCCAACCTCCATGTATAGGACACTGATAAACCACATTCAACTGTATTTGAAGGTACTAAGGCTATTATTTTTTTCTACAGGTACAAAAGGGGTACTCTGCTCATGTTTTACTTTGACTCTTAGATATCTGGAGGCCTAAGAGCTGCAAAAGCCATATACTTCCAGTCTTCCCTTAAGTGAGGCCCCAAAGACAAGAGAGTAGGTACACATGCCAGGTTTTAAGTCCTGTCTGAATGTCTTCAGACATTCATTAAACTATTAAAATATTTTCTCCCTCCTCAATACAACAGTATCAAGCTCCCTCAAGGACATTTCCTATAAGAGTGGCAGAAAGTAGCCTCTGTTTTCATCATACAAATATATATTAATTCATGAAAATAAATCGGCAAAAGCCCTGGATTAACTATCTCAGCAACAAGCACGACAGCCTGTACATGAGAATCTGCTACTACCTGAATTCTACCCAACATTTCTAGAAAACATAGCAAGTGGATACTTAAACATCTACTCAAAGCTGTACCAGCCCACAGTCAACTTGCTGCCTAATCATCAGTACAGTATTTAAACTGTCCAGCCTTCAGCTAACATGCAATTATTCCAAAAGGCAAAACTTCCATCTAGTACTAAATGCAATTCCTTCTACAAACAGAACTGTTAAGAATCTACAATTCGCTGTGTTTAAAAGGCTGACCCTGACTCTGTTGAGGGTTTTATCATTGTGGCAAGACAGGACATACACAATATTCTGCTCAGTACAGCTCAAAAAACTCTTTGTGATTATGCTTTTTAAAAAGCTTATTTTTATCCCTTCTAGCCACAGAAAACAAACTCAGAGAGTAATTACATTCACTCCTGCAAAGAAACTTTCTCAAGCAAATTATTCAATCTATAGGAACAGCTGACAAAATAAGCTTCTCTCTACAGAGGGATGTGATCTTACCACAGTTTTTTAATTACTCTGGTTCTGCAAGGGTAATAATTTCTTCATTGATAAAAAATTCAACAGTCTCCTCCTCCCAGTCATCGACATTGCTGTCCAGCTCATCTGTGTCTACACCTAGGATGGAGCAAACATGAACACTGAGTGCATCGAACAAGGCAGCAAGGGAAAGATTTGATGCTCTTGGCATGAACAGTCCTTAAACCAGCAGTGAAATAAAAGATATTCAGTGATTTAAATCACAACAAGGACATACTACATTAATTTAATGACAACAAGCATTACTGTCTCCCACCACAGGATTTTCTGGTTAAATGCACCACTCAAACCTCTTCACAGTCTTATCCCAAGGTCAACCCAGTGCTTGCCTTGAAGGGTGAAGAGGCGAGATAGAACACAAATACCAAACTCTGGCAGCCATTAATATTTGTACTTTCTACTGTGACCAAAAAATAAAGATAGAGATCTGTTGTGGGTCAGGATGAAAAGTATAAATGATCAGCAGAGAACAAGGAATTAGCTCTGGAAAGGAATGGAGGGAGAGAGGTGAAAGAACCGCCAGAACAGAGTAGTTGTTTTGTAAGCAGCAGCAAATCTCTGAGGTACCTCCTCGAAGCTCTAAGCGC